ATGGGACTCATTTCAAAATCAATCTTATAGATAATTGGGCTAAAGAACATGGTAGTGAGTGGGTATATCATATCCCTTATCATGCACAAGCCTCAGGCAAAATTGAACGACACAATGGACTGTTAAAAACCATCATGAAAGCAATGGGAGGTGGAACTTTAAAAAACTGGGACAAGCATTTAGCACATGCCACCTGGTTAGTTAACACCACAGGATCCATCAATCATGCTGGTCCTGCTCATTCAGCGCCTTTACACACAGTAGAGGGAGAAATTCCCTGTAGGGTATGAAAGGATTTTGTTGGGGAAGACTGTCTGGGTATTTCCTGCTTCAGGCAAAGGTAAACCCATTCGTGGGGTTGCTTTCGCTCAAGGACCTGGAACTACTACCCTGTATGATGTTGTTATATAATACTAACAGTGTTTAATAAGCGTTTTTCAGAATAATAAACCAGTGACGACCAGAGCTGACCTCATTGAGTGACATCCAGCAACTGAGCTAGCTTCATCGAGTGACGTCCAGTAGCTTCTCCGAAGTGAACCTACACCCTATGGATATGAACTGCAACAAATCTAACATGAACTTTCCTGCCCTGAGAGACTGCTATGATGGATGGAACCCACGATTCTGAACTTAATGAACTTACTGAACTTTTCCTATACGTAGATCATTAGCTCGTGATCAGTATGACATAAATGGTATGGAATAAGGGGTGGAATGTCCTGGGTTTAGCTAAAAAAACCACAGTCCTGTTTAGTGATTTTTACTTTCCAGCTCAGTCTCTTCTAGAAGGCTGCACTTTCTGAATTTAGACAGTGTGTGCTACTGCCAGTGATAACACCTGATGTTTACAGTTACTGCCTGGGACTGGGATGCGGAAAGGCTCTTGCTGATACTTATTCCTACAGTGACCAAGGCCACTGCTGGCTCCTGTGTGCCACGCTGGGGGTGCCGGGTAGTAAAGGGGAGTCACAAGGAAGTAAAAGCTTGCACCTCCGGAGGGTAATAGACAGGATGGGTGACCAACGAGAGTATTCCATCCCATATACATCATATTTAGTATAAATTGAGATCACGAGAGTTTTTCCCTTTTTTCCTTTTTCCTTCTTTGCCCTTTTCTGCAATGGCTGGTGTCCAGAGAGGACTCCGTCTGACCTCCTGCTTTTGATCCGGACACTGAGTTCCCGAATCCAGCTCCCCGTATCCAGCTCCCGCTGCCGCTGAGCCTGGGGCTGCCCCAGTGCCTCCTGCTCTGCAGCACCAGTGGGGATTGATATCGGGGGAGGGAGTCGGGTTTGATATCGGGCTACTATCTATAGTTGTATATAGTTCGTTACTTTTATCATTCCACTATTATTTCTATTATTGTTTCATTAAAGCTGTTCTAGTTTTTTTTCTTCTCTAACCCATAAGTCTCTCTGCTTCATTCCCTTTTCCTTCCCATTTGTGGGGGGAAGAGGGGGTTAGAGAGCGTCTGTTCGTGTTAGTGGCCGGCCCAGCCCCCAACCTCAACATAAGGAAACACCCTCCATTAAAGGATAATTCATAATGACTGAAGTTAGATGGTCTGAACTGCCTTATCTCCTATGAAGACAGAGGAAGTGTGACTTTCCTAAGGTATGCATAAAAGTTGACTTCAGCTCCTTATGAGTCTATTTCAATATATCTAACAGAAAATTCACAATACACAACTATGGGAACTTGACAAGCATGGCATTATAATTTTGGACATAAAACTGCATTACAACAAATTTTCATGTTCCATCGCTGGATAGCATAAGACCAGAAACACTCAAAAACCACTTCTCTGTGAATCCAGGCTAAGAATTGGACTGTAGCTTCAAACTCCCTGCCTCGTAATAGGTGAGATAATGTTTCAAATTTTGCTTAAAATGCCCTTGGTTTTAGACACTTCATTTCCAAGGAGCCCAAGAACATTTTTAGGTGGAATACAAATAATCCACTTGCTGAAGGATCTCCCATTTTTCCATGTTACTTAGTTTCCACACATCAATTTCAAATAAAGTTTGTCATTCCAAGATGTGAAACACATTGTATATCAGAAAGTTCATGTGAGTGCTTCTTAGGTAAATTCATGTAATAACATAAACAGTGGCATATTAGTCAAGAATTGAGCATATACACTACCAAAGTACAATCTGCAGTGAATTAATTTCTAATGATGAAACAAGAAAGGAAGCAGAGCCGGTTCAGTACCATATTGAAGCTATGCCGGAGGTATACTGATAGCAAAGAATCGCAGCCTACAATCATGAAGGACAGATTGCAGAACACACACAAAGCATTGGGTTTCTGGGCATCATTATTTACTAAAAACAAACCTAGTGCCGTGTCCAAGCCACATGTTAATAGAAGATCTCGAACTGTCACCACAAGGTGCACCAGGGCAGCATGTCTGAACAGCATCATCTCCTTCTCATCTATTTTACCTTTACAAATAGAAGACACAAGTGTAGTCTGCATAAAATTTCAGAAATTATATATGCAATCAATTTTAGATTTTTCACTAAACACACTTAAACAGACATAATCACGATAAAGTTGGTTTGGTGGTCTTGGCAAATATCTTACGACATAACATAACTTTTCCCATGTCACCTGACCCAGAGCAAGTGGGTTTTTGTAAAATGTGTAGAGACAGGTGGTGCTTGCTGGAGGAAGGGATAACAGTTCCCTTAGGCATGCCATTAAATCCATGCTGCCTTACTGATGTTAGTAAGTCAATCTTTAAGTATACACTGAAACTTAAAATTTTCCCATCTTCTGGTGTGTCATACAAACCCAGCTGTTCACATTACTATTTCCTTATCTGACTAATCAAATCACTAATTTTTTCAACATTGGTCTAACTCCATCCAACACATTTTCCAAACATTTCAGAACTCCTTCCAAGAAGTCAAAATGGCAGATTATGCCCTAATCAATAAGCAATTTTAAATCAGTGAAAACCTCAAATTGAGCTTTACACAGAACATTTTCAACAAATTTTAAACTATAAAAGCCACGTTCTTAACGTAAATGATTTGGGTCAGCTAGTCTTCACACATATAATGAGAAAAAATCTTATAGTCTTACAGTATTGATCCATGTAGATATTACCTTCTCTACACATAATTAAATTAACCTCTCCTGATGAGAATCTTAATCATCTTTGAGAAGGTAAATTTGGGGGACATCCGCCTCGTCTTGAATCCACACAGTAAACCAAACAATTTGCAGGCTACCTATTTTGCATTATGTAATTTTTTTTTAATAAATCTTCAAGGACTTGACTGAACAGGAAGGAATTACTAGTCTGAAGAAGGAAGGCATTTCTGGGAAATGCATACAGGGAGTGGTGTTGTTCATTATCTTAAGAAAGGAAATGTCACTGCTGCAGAGTAAGTGGACTTAATAATAAAAAGCATACTTCAAGATGCTAAAAATAGTTGAGGAAGATAATTAAAGAATAAATCATTAAAATTGATCAAAGAATTACTGAACAAGATGCATTATACAAGAAAAATATTAGCTAGCTCCATATTCTGGAATACACATAGCTTGTAATTCAAAAGGCACTTATTAGGTAGGAAAAATTAAATTTACAAACACAGCATATAGAAGAATTAGCTGGAAGCAGCATAGAAAACACAGATCCTGCCACTACTGTGTATCAAAGAAAGTGACTGCTCATCTCTGTCAATGAAGGTGCTGAAACTGAAGAAGTATGTCCAGCTCCTGACACCACTCACCATAAAAACTCAGTGAGAAATGCAGGTCACTTAGAAACAAAGCAAGACAGTAAGAAACCACATTTTATGATAAAAGACTGGAGCATTTGACGATACTTGGTACAGAAAGAAAAAACCAATAGGGGAATAATAATATTCTGATAGATCAATACCATCATAGTAAATGATTGTTTTTTATGTTAACAATGAGAAAATGCATCAGCATATTCTGGAGTAAAGTAGCATGAGACTGGATTTTGTGAAACCATTTAAAACCAGGAAGGCAAAAAAAGAGTGAAGCAAATTACCAGGGATGTTCTGGAATCTCCCATACATTTTGAGAAATATGCATTAGGAATGGATTGGATATGTTAGAGTCTATGCTTCTATGGACCTTCAAGCAAGAAAATTCTTATCTCATTCTGCTTCTTCAGTTGGGGACAAAACGCAAAACCTCCTTTGCACTTTTCCATCTCTTCAGTGCAGAAAATATTAGCTAAATCAACCTGATGGGTTTTTTTTGTATTTTAAACCGAAATGAGAGAAACCAAAGAGGAAAACATTTTTTACCACTGTCCTCGAGCTGTAGTCCAAAGACCCACTATTTCATAGGTCAATTTTGTGTTCAGCAACTTTGTATAACAAAGAATAGGTAGCCATTACCCATTTTCCCTTAAGAGAAATGTCTAGCAGATGACTATTTGCCTCATCAGCGCTACATCCACTAAAACTGTTCGTTGACTTCATTGCTGTAATTTCAGCAATTGGTAACATGCTGCTCGGCTAATCTAAAAGCAAAGAAGGCTCTGAAGTTTGAAGAAGCATGCCACTCAACTCGGCTTTTATTTTAGGCTACATTTCTACAGCATGTAAACTGCATTTGAAAGGATATAAGTTTTCTTAAATTAATCCTGAATTAAAACCCAGACTCATATATTATTTTCCTTGACCTTGAGAAGCCGTAGTACTTATCTGTATGCTTTTGTCAGCAATGTTTTCTTTTCTGTGATTCACTGATACTGATACAGGTACTGAGCTTCTACCTCATGTTTGCAAAAAGAGGGTTTGCATTTCTGTAAGCTTCCTCAAATTAAGAGATCCCTCCTGCTGACAATTCTATAGATCACCGGCAATTGTTCTGCAAAGACTGCTAAAATATTTTTGGTTTGCCTTCCTTCTCATTTGTAATTTAGTTTTATTTTGATTAAAATACAGTCAGCATGGATAGCAATAAAACAGAGACAGCTAAAGTTTATCGCATTACTTGTGACACAATATACTCGTTGGGTAGTAGACAGACTGCTATGTTATTCTTACAACTAGCTCTCAACTATGAGCAGTATAACTAAAAAAAAATAAACCAAAATACTCAATAGCTTGCTCTATCTTCCCCAAACACAGTCTCTATTCTGCTGTGAGGTTTTACTGACCCTATCTTCATAGGCAAAAATCTTTGTAAGCGGTCACTGATTTTGCTGGCTTTTGCTGTATTTTTTTCCTGGTTTTGTAGAGTTTTCACATGCCATATAGCAGAAAAATGAAGACAGAAAGAACCCAAATTAATATGGAATTTTCTCCCCCTTATTTCTAATACAGGCTTCACATTTTGCATAATGAAAACCTATAGCTACTACAAGGAAAGAAACAGCAAAAACACAGAGGCAGCTTTTAATTTCAAAATCTAATAAAAAAATAAAACATCTGATAGAGAAACAACGTTGCTGAAGCATATCTAAAATATTTTAAAATTAAATTAAAATAGAATACTTTTTCTATTACAATATTCAGGTTAATAAACATAATGCTGAAGAACTAGGAGACATTATTTTGGAAATAGAGTAAACTCATTATTATAACTCTACAAGGCAAACTGCTAAAAGTTTTATCATTAATTTATCAAACATTTTGAACCTTTAAATCTGTATCAGTATTAAAGAAGAAAAAATTTATTCTTTTAAAAAGACATACCTTCTTTAAAAAGATCGCACACCACTTTCTCTTGCTGTTTTAAGAAAAACCTTGTATGATCAAATTTAACGTTGTCAAAGCTCCAATTTACAGAAGCAAGTACACCCAAATGTGTCAAATCTTTTAGAACAGGAGCGGCTGCTTCTTCCAAGAGGCAGTATGCCTGGCATTGGCTTTCTGGATAGCACAAAACCCAAAACATAAGAATAAAGTTTGGTTTCATAAACTGCTACTAGACAAGAATATTCAAAAGACCTAGCAAAACATAAACAATACCAACTTCTTCATGAAAGCTGTAACATTAATAAAAAATAGTTGCTTTCCAGGGAGCCTCCTGGGTAGTGGAATTAAACTGATTCCCATAGCAGGCAAACCAGTTATTTCATGCATCTCATAAGGCAGCAGACAAGCTTTACTTTTTTTCCAATTGCATTAAAGGATTTAATTATATTTTAAAATATAATATATTCTACAATATATATAATTTTAATTATATTAAAAATATAATGTAAAAATAGGCTTATAGATGTTACATGATTCCCATCTCAGATGGGAACAGATGGAAATACTGCTCTACTTTAACCAGTTCTGTGAAGAAGACTCCCATTAAGCATGTGGTTGTGGTGGCTGCACTTCTGTGGAAAACCAAACTAATCTGTGCTACACCTACAATTTTTGAGCACTGTATGTGCTTAATTTGAGGCTGTAAAATATCTTGGATAAAAAGCTTCCAGGTTCTTCTCCACCATTTGTACTGTAGGACAGAATTGTCCTCACTGCATGTTCTTGAAAAGTACAACAGCAAGAGTTCACAAGGTTCTGTCATGTATGAGATAAATCCATAGTGGATTACTACGGTGTTAAAGTCACTTCCTATCAAAATGACTGCCAGCCCCTTCTGTCTCCAGTTATCTCATTTGCTGTCAGAGGAAAAACCTCAGGATAGACTGAGGGTACTGATTGACATGAAGAGATTTCATGTTCCTTGATCTAGATCAGACATAACTAAAAGTCTGTACTTTTAAGCTTGCATGCAATTGTCTTTTGTCTTAACACAGAATTCCATACCTGCTTTCACACCTGTGTCAAAATAAATATCTATCTGTTGAGAATGTTATCAGTCACAAGTAGTAGAGACTAAGCCTAAAAATTTCCGTATTTGTTTGAGTAGTACTATTTAATATAAAATTACACTGAAACCTTATGTAAAATAAAGCATATTCAAAAATAGCATACCTGATGCGTGAATATTGACTGTGACACTGTCATCATGCTCTTGTTCTTTTTCCTCTATTCCTACAGTCTCACAAACAGAACTGTCCTCTTTGTGAACATGCATATGCCGTTCTTCAGGTTGTAGTGCTAAATCATTATACCACAAGTGGACATATAGATACAAATATCACAATAACAGCTCAATGAATAGGAAAAATTATCTATAAATGACTCTACATGTAAAAATATTTTCAAATTAAGTAGTTTCTATGGCACATACATTTAATTTTCATGAACTTCTTTATTGTTTTAATGGAAAAAACATCAAGACACAGAGCGAGATGAGGCCCTGTCAGCCTTCACAGCCCAGGAAGTCAGGCATTACCAGTTTCCTCTTCCTTAGGGCAGAAATGCAGAGCTGGGAAAATTAAGGAGCTGGTTACTATAGCTCTGTAAGGTAGCTCCATAGGAAAGCTCACATGCCTTTATATGGAGAAAAGGGAGTCAGATGTATGTCTTTATTTCTGAGAGGAGTTTTGACTCAATAGGTGTCTCCTAAATATTGCTGATTTTTTGTAGTTAAGAATGTCAGTTTCTTCAGAAAACAAACTTACAGATACAGAGACAGAAAAAAAAAAAAGAAAAAAGTGTGGGGATATTTTTCTAGTTAAGTTAAAAATACCTTTTTGAAAACCTATACAAGATTGAAAATTGGATCATTGAACTGTTTCTACTATCTCCCTCCTGTGTATTTTCTGACTGAAATACTACATACAATGATATCTTTAAAAAATAATTCAAACAACAAAGACAATAGAGAAACAGCACTACAAGCAGTGCTGGTATTTCTTATTTTCAGTTTAATTTAGAATGACTCAATAAAAACTTTTCGTTATTACCAAGATATACAATAATTTACATGATTTCTACATCAATGTAGTAAGACCTATGTTTTTTAATGGGTTCTTTTTATATAGCAGAAGCACAGATTTGCAACACTGGGGTCTACCTGTAAACATAATCTAAACTGCATTTAACTTAGGTAAACCTCCACAAGCCTATTTGTAAATGTACCATGGCTTGTCAAAAAAGTGGATTTTTTTTTTTTTTGTTACGAGATGCAGTTCTAGTTAGAGTTCACTAGATGGTAGCATAAAACCTCAGTTCAGGTTACGTTGCTGTACTTTTAAAATTGGAGTTGTTGCTTTTGAGTCCATGGAAATGTTTTATGCATGTTAGTAATAGGTGGATTTTACCATCTCCATAAGCTTTCTATTAAACAAATATCTCAATTCTATTCTATAGGAATTATTTCTGAAAGCTTTTACACAGCTTTTTCTTTTTTTTTTTTTTTTAATGCTAGAACACAAAATTGAAACACAGATAAACGTTATTGTCAAAATTCTTCTATACAAGTCCAAAAATTGAAAACTTTATCCTTAAAAGTGAATCTGGAAATATGTCACTGTCTCCAAATATTTTGCATCACAAATATTTGGTTTTTTAAACAAAGAAGGAACTTCTATTCCCTTTCTGCTATTTTGTGGTTTTGTAATGTTCAAGCATAGTCAGAAATTCTTTCAGAAGCACTGCCATCAACAAAAATTGGGCTATCAGCTACTTTGTTTTTCTCAATACCTGTTTTATCTCATTGGTTGATGGGATTTGCACCAAGGCAAATGGCTGTCATGGGTTTGAGTCTGGTGGGGTTTTTGTAAAAGTGGGGGGAGACTCGTGTGAAACTTCGAGACTCGTGCGAAACTTTGAGAGTCTCCCCCACCCGCGGGAAGAGTGGGCCCTGCCTGTGGCCAGGGCCAGGCCAGTCAGCGCCTCTGCCATCAAGGCATTTCAGAGGCGACCCCACTGTTCTTGCTCTCTCGTTTGGTTTCGTCTTCTCTTGAGCTGTCCTGTCTTTAACGTTGGGGAGTTGTTTCTCTTTGGAAGAGAGGGAGGTGAAAGGAGAACCAAGGGGCATCGCTCTGAGAAGAGTCCCAGAGGAGAAGGAGAGGGAGAAGGCTGCTGGAGCAGGACCTTTCCCTGCAGCCCATGGTGGATGAGATGCAGGAAGGGGATTGCCTGTCAGCTGAGGGACTGATGGCAGTGAGAATGTCCAGGATGTGTCAGAACAGGCAGAGCCCGGAGGCCGAGCATCAGCAGGGGACATGCCCGAAGCAATCTGTGACCCTGAGGGACTCACAAGGAGGAAGAGGATTGCCTCCTGTGAGGTGGACACCACATGGCAGGAAGGAGAGACTGTGAGGAGCTCTCTTTCTCCAGGGAAGATGCCGAGGACAATGAGTAATGGTCAGGTGGACTAAGCCCCCCATGCCCTGCCACCCTTGCACTGATAGGGGTGAAGAGGTAATGGCGGATATGGGAGCGGTGTGTAGAGGAGTGACGTGTATATAAGATTGGGTCATATTTATTGATGTATTCCTCTCACTGTCCTAGTTTGTAAATGGTGTGGTGAATTAAATCTATATTTTTCTCCCCAAATTGCTCTGGCTCTTTACCCACCATCTTAAATGGTAGATTACTACCCTCCATATCCTCAATCACAAAACCTTGAGACTTTTGAGTTGAAACTGTCTCCCTCCACATCACCGTGGAAATGGGGTTGGGGGGAGGAGTGAGCTGGAGACCTCATGGTTCTTTGTCCTAGTCAGTTTTTTTCCAGAACCTTTAACTCTTGCTCATTGTCTAGTCTACATTGGTTCTACAAAACTAAGAGTATTGATAATTAGTATTTGATAACTACAATTAATTTGCTAACTATCAAACTATTGATGACTACTTCCAAAGAGACCAGGAGCTTGGATTCAAAACGTGTGGATGGAAGAGATCTTCTGAGTAAGCACCATTTAGAGTTAATTTGCCAGAAAAGGAATAAACTTAGATGTTTATTTCATAGAAAAACACTTCTACCACCAAAAAAACTCCACCCAAACCAAAGCACTCTCCCAAACAAAACAAACAAAATCCCATAAGCTATCTAAAGGTAAAAAACAAAAGGTAAGATCCTTTACTGAAAATTCAGCTATATTAAGGATCATAAAAATGTTAATACCGAATTCAAATGATCCCCCCCTCCCAATAAATCTACTAGCATGAAATAGCATCTATTGTAACCAGTATAGGAGAGCAGAATTAAACCTGGAAAAAGGGAGAATGAACTGGTTCACATACCTTTTTCCGTACTATCTACACCATTTCTTTCCTCTCTTTCGGTGAGTGTATGGTTACATCTCAGCATGATAAAGTCGCTCAGATCAGAATCATCATTGTCCCATTTTGTAGCAAGTGCAAATGATGCAGGCTTTTGACTTCTGGATGAGTCGTCTTGTTCAGAAGACACATCTTTACAGCTTACTGATCCAGCTGATTTGGGTTTTTTCTCTTCTTGGTTTAACAAATAAATTGCCTCTTCTACATTATTCTTTTTTGTGCTCCCTCCAGTAAGCTCTTCCACAGATGTATCTGTACTGTGAATTTTGGCAGAAGACGTAGCACTCATGTGCACGGCAAAGTGCTGCCTTCGAGTCTGTGGTGACATGTAAATATTAATTTCTTTGTCTGATTGATGTTCTTCAGCAGAAAGCAGTTCCTGGTTTGTCACAGAATTCTTCTCTTCAAGCCAGCCTAAACAAAACACATTCAATTTCTTCACTGTGACATAGATTTTTCTCTTCCTTCTCTTGGCTGGAGTTAACTACTTTGGATAACTAAAGAGAAAGCATTTTTTAATTTCTTCTTTCTGCCTTCCCAGATCATTAGAATCTGCTTTTAGAAAATTTGTACTAATTAGTCCTAAGCAAAAATGTAAAATGTTGAGAAGGCCATGCTACTGCTTGGAGAAGTTCTCACCATCTGCATGATGCTTACTTATGTTAGATTTCTAGGAAGTGGGATGCAACACATTTCATTGGGAAGAAAGATTAAAACACCAACAGAATCTTTTTTGAGGAAAAAAAGAAGCATGCAGTTAGCTCCCTCTAAGATGTGCTTCACTAGAACTGCATTTTTTTTTGCACTGCGGATCCACATCCATGTTAAATACAGTAGCTGAATACAGTGTGTATAAAGCAATTAGGTGGAAATGTTCCTTTATAAGCAGTGCCTATTGTTTCACAATATATCACTCTACTGTCACTCCTTGGACTTCTACAACCACAACTGATGCCTTGCAGTCACATCTTAGTCATATACTAGAATCTAAATAACTTGTTGCATTTTCTAAGCATGCTTAAGAGTCCATAACGAATGTTAGACCACGGGTGGTTCACATTTTAAACCATAGCTGGCATAAAAAAACCCTCTGGATTGAGTCACAAAATAAAAAATTTTCACTGTAACTCAGTCTCCCCACTGACCTTCTGCCGATAGGACTATATGAATACCTGCTTTATTAAAATATTCCAATGCAAAATTACTATTATTAAGAAATTCTCCTGTATAAAACTTTTATTAAAAAAATAGTACGGATGGTGGAGACTACTTTTCACCTGCACATTAATAGAAAATATAACTGTGTAGTTAAACACTTTCGTTCCTACAATTTGTTCTAAGTTCGGGAAAGTACACCTTAATTGAAGTAGTGTTGCTACTTCACATTCTTACAAAACATTTTGTTCTTGAGAATAAGAAATCTTCCTTTTGCTTCCTTGGAGTACTTGGAGGTACATAACTGTCACTGTGTGATTCTCTGTTGAAATACCTATCTTTGCCTTTTTAGCACTTCTCTTAAAAGAAAAGAAGATACTTACTTTCTAACTGATGTGATGTAAATAGTGCGAATGATTCCATTTCTGTAGGAACCAAACCGTTTGCTTGACTAGCATCCATATTTAATTGCTCCAAAGGTTCTGTGGAGACTGGTTTTAAACCCAAATGAAGCCACCAGCCTTCCTCTAGTGAGATAACCACTGGTGCTTTCACCTCAGGTAGTAGCATTGCCATCAGTTCTGTAAGTGAATAATGCTGATATTCAAGTTTAAAAGTCTGATGCTCTATAAAAAAACAGAAATCAAAATGTAATATTAATAATCTAGAAACAGAAAAATAAAATGCTGTTTTGGAAAATGAAAGTTCTCGAGTACTGATGACCTACTAAATACATCCGTTTTCTATACTTTCATGTGTATTCCAGTGTCCATTAATAGACTTAAGAGAAAAGCAGTTAGTGTTATCAGAGCAAGTGTGCTTTTTACTTATTGAGTGTACAAGTAACGAGGGTGTTAAACTTTTTTCAGCTCTAACGATGTGTAGTTCCATTGCTAAAGTTATATATGATGGTTTTGATTGTCTGTGGGTTTGTTTGTCATGCTTACAAAGACTTAATACAATCCTTACGTGAAAAAATAATATCATTGCACCTACCATACATTATTTTCAACTATAAATAAACATACAAATAAATTGGACAACATAACAAGTCAATATACATAACTTAAACCTGAGCCTTATGAATGAAGGTAAATAAACTGAAATGAAAGAACAGTGGTAATAAGTATTTTGGAGCTGTCAGAAATAGCCTTGATTTTGTATATTTTGCTTCCTAACATGAACACTATTGTCAAGTTATTATTCTTCATTAACAGTACTTTTCTATTGATTGATACATATTTTGAATGTAAGGAAAAACAACACACATTACTCCGTAATGAAATAAAAATATTTCATTCAAATTACCTCCACAGAACGATGCATGACATACCGATGTCTACTTTGCCATACTATAACTTCTTACATGTGCTAAAGAATCAGATAATACAAACTTCAGAGGGTTACATTAAGTGGATAAACTTCAATGGCTCCAAAAATGTGCTTTGTAATATAACATTATCTTCTTCACTGTATTTTCTCCATGCTCATGGAATTCCTCGGAATCAGTTAGAAATTGATAATCAATCAGAAATCCTTACCGACAAGCAAAAGAGAATGCATGCTATCCCGATACTTCTCTGATTGCCATACCAGACATTCCAAGTACTCTCTAGAGGGCTCTGTAGTTAAAATACTAAGAACATAAAACAAGGCTTTCAGGTATGAAGTGTAACAGCATTATCTGTTGAATTTTTACTTATACAAAATAGATCTACTTTCTCTCTGAATTTTCAGTTTATTCATTTTTCATTCACTCATTCATAAAAATTTTTTCTCGTCCATATAGAAGGTAATTTCATGCAACACCACGGTAAACAGAAAGGAGTGAAAGGAGCCATCAAGGCTGAGTCACAAAGTAAAATGGCACAGAATGAGAATTCTGTCTAGATTGTGGTTCCCTCATGAATAGGGTATTTAAATCCTTCATGCATATGCAAGAAAGATAGCAAGGCAAAACCTGCTAGTCTCATAAACAAGTTGAGAAGGAAAGGATGAAGCAGTCCTGATCCTATGTCAGCATGAAAAGGCTTAAATTCCATTGTTTGGGGGTATCTCAAAACCACAACACTACCTTTTTCCTGTATCTCTTCTGGAGCTACTGTAGGTGACACTTGCTCAACATATGTGTTGGCCATATGTGTAAATACACAAACTTGCTATATACATAAATATTTACTTTTGCCTACTCCAAAAAGGAGACTGGATTTACAGGCTATTAAGTCCCCCAGGGGAAAGAGGTCTACAGCACCAAGTGTCACATCCTTTTTCAAGCTGCCCTGAGAAGCTAGAGATACGGATGATGCACTCTGTTCATTCTTCCACATGACCCACAAAATACAGGCAGCTGTCTCAAAGAACATAATTACCAATTCACAAATAGACTAAAGTTATTTTTGCCCTAATTCAGAGGATTTATGCTTTAGAAGATTTACAACAGGATTTATTACTAAAAAGCTTTCGTTACCTGTTGCCAGAAAGAGGAATAGGTTCTTCTTCAAGTTCTGTGCACAGAAAATTATCCCATGATCTTTGCTGTCTGCATGGAGGACTTAAAGGGACTTCCATTTCATCTTTCAGGTTTGGAACGTATTTAGCTAGAAATTGCATAACCCCCCCCACAAATCAGAAATAAAAAATCTAAATCATAAAGCTACTTGTGAATGAAATGTGCATGCTTAGGAAGTGTTGGATTAAAACATAAAATATTCTCATGGGACAATTCACTATTTAAACAATAAAAACCAAATTCTTTGCATTTAATTTTCAGACAGTTTGGGCATAATAGTGTGTATGTTACATTCCTTTATTGATTTTGTAATGTAGTTCTGGCTATGATTCTTATGATTAAGTCACCAGGTACTATGGCTGAGATTCCTGATGGCCTTCTTAGTCTCCACATAAATGAAGACAATTAGATGGGAAAGAAACTTCAGACAATATTGTGGTAGCTGTAAGATTCAGATAAATGGAACAAAGGAACTTCAGAAGCAGACAGAATTTAGAAGGAAAAATTACTCTTTCAAGCAGAATTAGTTCTCACTGTAATTTCTAGGGATGACAACTGAAATTAATTAAAGCATCATTTTTTAAACGCAGTATACAAACAAACCTGGAATGTTAAAAGTCCCCTGCAAGTCACTTTTCACATCACTTTATATGCTAATCATATAAAAAGTGTATATTTTAATGGATTATTGCTTTTTACTCAAACCAAGTAAGGAATCTGCAACTTCACAGAAAACTTCATTGATTTTTGTGGCATTACAAAACAATTGTCAGTTTACATGATTGCCCTAGTATTCATCTCTCTGGCATTCTTCTTATAATATTTCTTGTTAAGTTTGACAAGAAAGTAAAGGTCACAAAATTCACAGTTCCTCCATGTTCTGTGAAAACTAACAGCCAGAAATATCGCAAGTAAGTAAGAGCTTCCTTAAGGAAAAACACATGTAACAGATTCCCTATTTACTCCAACAGGCAGTAAGCAGCTGCAATCACCGTACGCTCACTGTTTGGCCAACTGGCACACAGCAGGCTATGAATCAGCCACCTGCCCAGCTGCTTACAGCTCCTCCTCGTCTGACCTAACAAGTAGACTGTGCAGCAGGAAGGACAAAGAACAGTGTTAGAAAGTCAGGGAATGTACAGTGCAATTTGGGGGGGAGAACAACAAAAATCGAGAAATAAAAGTGGACACACAAGAAAGAAACAGACTTCCAGTCAGAGTAAACTCTGCTGTGAACTTCAGCTCACAAACTGCTTGGGGTTTTTGTTTTGGTTTGTTTTTTTTTTTTTGTAGTGAGAAACAAATTTAGCACTTTGAACAGGATAGGACAGGAGCTGAACTCAGGACAGCAAAAGGTCCTGGCATATCTAAAAAGAATAATTATTTCTCTTTGAATAATACTGTTTGTACTAACTCTTATCTATTTGTTTTTTGTCTTTTAGACTGGAACATTTTGACCAGCAACATTAGTCAAACTCTGCCTACACTTGGGATGCCATTTCCCTCCTCAAAGCATTAATGACTAAGTGAATCTTCTCATCCCTCATTAACTTTTTCAATAAGCAATCCCCAGAACTAGCAGGAGAGGAAGGCAACAATGAAATGTTTATAGAAATGCCATTATTTTGTGTCTGTTTCTTCTCTGAGTTCAGGCAAACATATTTCACTTCTGGCAACTCATGAACAGCAAAATTAATTACAAGGACAAGACTGCAGGGTATCACTACTGAAATACAACACCTGATACAGGAACTTCCATGAACAAAACATCAGTGTCTTGGGAGTGCATGTGCAAGTTTGCAGATCTTTATCCTATGGATCTGACTATATCCTAAAAAAGCCCCAGCAGACACGGAAGCTGTCTGTGCCCCAGTGATTGAATCTCTCCTGACAGAACAGCAGAGCTAAGCCAGCAAGCTGGCAATAAAGAGAAATGCCACCACTTTCTTTTAAAACCAATTTATATAGTTTAACTACTCATCTGCTGCGGAGGAATGCACAATAACGTGGATAAGATTGTAGTCAACTTATTACTGTACGTGAAGGAGAGTGTAAAACTGCTCAGATCTGCTGCTTAAGTGCCTCGTGCTTATCATAGGCTTTAGAAGTTAAGAGCAGTCAGATACCTCACTAGATCCAGATTACATTTAATCATGCTAGGCAATAATCTCCAGGTGGAAACCTTTGTCTTGGTAGGATAACGTATCGTGGGTTTGCCTTAAGCTTTTATATCAGACACTTTGAGCTGATATGAATGCTCCTACCAAAAGCCCACTACAATACCAGGAGTGGGATGCTATTAGCCTGAAGAGAACAACCATCAGTCCAGCTTAAATCATATCAAAAATACAACAAGAAGGGTGGTCCATCGTCTAGAGAAAACTCAAATTTCTCAGGGATTTTAGTAACTGCTGCATGGAAAAATATCAAGGGAACATGCACTGGAGGATAATGCCGCTACTGTCCAATGCAATAATGGATAGACTTTTTCCAAGACAGGATATACATTAGGATGAGAGGTGCTGCTTTATACAAGTATTGCCACTGCCTAGATCACATTCATTTGTAAATGTCACTCTTTGCATAGGCTTTTCTCCATGAAATTAAAGGTGAAAAATATTAGCACCGCAGCCATTTTTCTGCCTCTCTTAGTCAGCCAACATAAGCTGTGAAAACAGTAGGGCTGGCAAGAACATTCATTATTTTGAGAGGTTACACCTGGAGCCTGAAGAAATTTTAACTGAGGTTGGATAGTTAGTCTGTACAGTCAGACACTAAACCTGTCTGGCATTGGTATGCATTCTAACTAGCTGCACTGGGTTCGCCTGGCCGGGTTTCAGTGGCAAGAGGGGGGGCTGTAAGGGTGGCTTCTGCAAGAAGCTACTAGAAGCTTCCCCTGAGTGTGACAGAGCCAATGCCAGCTGGCTCCAAAGACTGACCTGGCCAGATCCAAAGAGGGACCCGCCACTGGCCAAGGCTGAGCCCATCAGTGATGGTAGGAGAGGAACGCCTCTGTGAAAACATATGGAAGAAACGGTGGAAAATGAACTGCTCCACAATATCTGGCGGCGAGAGAGAGTAAGGACTGAGAACAGGTGAAGATACCAAGGTCAGTGAAGAAGGGAGGGGGAAGATGTGCTCCAGGTGCCAGAGCAGAGAGTCCCCAGGGCTGTGGTGAAGCCCATGGTGAAGCAGGCTGTCCCCCCGCAGCCCATGGAGGGGACAGGGTGTAGATGTCCACCTGCAGCCCATGGAGAACCCCACGCCAGAGCAGGTGGATGCCTGAAGGGGGCTGTGACCTCATGGGAAGCCCGTGCTGGAGCAGGTTGCTGCTGGAACCTGTGTCCTGTGCAAAGACAGAAGCCCACGCCGGAGCAGGTTGGCTGGTGGGACTTTTGTGACACCATGGGGGACTCGCGCTGGAGCAGTTTCCCCCTGAAGGACTGCGCCCCCTGGAAAGGCTCACGTTGGGGCAGTTTGTCAAGAACTGCCTTGTGTGAGAGGACTGATGTTGGAGAAAGGTGTGTAAAGATTGTCTCCCATGAGGGGGACCCCACAATGGCCCAGGGGTAGAGTGAGAAGTCCTCCCCCAGAGGAAGAAGCAGCGGTGGGGCAGTGGAAACAACATCAGATGAGCTGACTGCAGTCCCATTCCCTGTCCCCCTGCACCACTTGGAAGGGAGGAGGTGGATAAATTGGGATTGATGTTAAGCCTGGGAAGAAGTGAGGGATGAGGGGCAGGTGTTATTTTTTTAAAGATCTGTTTTTATTTCTCACTACTCTTCTCTGATTTGTTCTTTAATAAATTTAACTAATTTCCCAAAATCAAGTCTGTTTTGCCCAAGACAGTAGATGTGGGTGATCTCCCTGTCCTTATCTCAAACCATGGGCCCTGCATTATATTTTCTCCCCATTTAGCAGAGAAGGGGGCTGACACAGCAGCTGTGTGGGCACCAGGCTTATGGCCAGGGTCAAACCACCACATCAGTATGTCTGACTGAGTTTTCAAGCTATTAATAATGAGTATGTATAAAGAATTTCCTGATGCCAATGTGGGAAAAGCTGGGATACAACACACATATTAGTAAATATTCAATACTTTCCATTTACTTCTGCGGAAAACAACTACATGACAACTTCCTGATGACTCAGTATTACTGAATTACAAAATGTCTGCACAGGGGTTCTGAATCTCTAGAAGTCATAAACTCGGTACTTCTCCCTGGACTGTCCTCCATCATCTTCTTTGAAAAGATCTATCAGACTTTTAACAAACTTTAAAATGTGCTCTTTGACTCCACAATTTTAATCAATCTGTCTTAACTTTCCTCTGCCCTTTCTGAGTCAAATCATAAAATGGTCAGGGTTGGAAGGGACCTCAAAGATCATCTAGTTCCAATCCCCCTGCCATGGGCAGGGACACCTCCAATTAAATGAGGCTGCTCAAGGCTCCAGCCAACCTGGCCTTGAGCACTTCCAGGGCAGTGGCACCCACAGCTTCTCCCGGCAACCTGTTCCAGTGTCTCACCACCCTCACAGTACAGAACACCTACCTTACATCTAGTCTAAGTTGTTAAGATAGGAAACTCTAAAAAGCTAATTAAAGTGCAAAAGATATAAACAACACTTGCAGCCAGAAGCAACGTGAAGGAACTGTAAAGTAGGTCAAGTTTAGCTTTTAAAACTTTTGAAAGGAGTATGGCACTTCTACATGCTTAAGGTGCAGGTAAAAAGTAGCAGATTACACAAGGCACACATTCTTACATCTATATGTTGCCTGTACCCCCCAAAACAGAATATGGGGACAATAATTTGAAAAATTTATTCTAAATATCATCCCTTGTATTACGTATATTTTCCTACCTGACTCACAGAATTCCAACATACTTCTGCTATTAGCGGAGCAAGCCTCTTGCAGCATGGGACAGTACTTGGAAATTTCTATTTTGTATGTAATTTCTGCTTTGAGATCTGAAAGCAGATTTTAAAAGGTGCCATAAATTAAACATTTATTCCTTTTTCCTGTCAAAGCATTTTTTTCCTTCAAACTTCATATGGAATCCCCACAATATATGATATGAAAAATTACAGTTATGCTTAGCAACTCCAAATGCTGTTGCTGATCAGAGCAGTACTCAGTCTTATGCCTTAAAAGTGTCAGGAAAAACCCCACAATATAGTATAGTCACTATCTTAATTGTTCAAAATTTTTATGACTATAGTAATGTGATTTCTGGAACAAGTAGGTGGCCTAAACGTAGTTTACCAGGAGTTTGTGTATGTAGATTCTCTTCCTTCTAAAACAACTAAAACGGAAAAAAAAGAATAATAGACTGATGTCTATGTACAAAACTCTCAAACCTCTGCAGTGGATGTTGGGTCATCCAGCTTGGAACATGGCATGTAGGTTGTGATGTACTAAATGAATCAGAAGAATGCACATAAAACTCCCTTATACACTTTAAAAAGTTTTGTTCATATCTTCAATATGAGACCGGATTACTTCAGTCGGCTGCCTTACCAGAAACAAAATTCAGCACATCCCCTCCACACTCAGAAGTATGAATATTGCTTCTTTGAGCTGCTTTCCATCCACTAAAGAAGTGGTTTTCCTCACTTTTTAAGCAAAATGAATACAAATTTTTTTTTTAAAATAAAATCTCGGGCACTGTCTTTTTCTTTTAACTACACCAAATACTGTCATGATATCAATCCAATAGCTAATAAAAATCCTTAAAGTTGTATTTTTCTGTAGTATAAAATTATTTAACAACTTTTCTTAAACTCCTTTAAAGAAATTACTATTGTCATATAGGATATTTGTGTTACCCATGGAAATATTTAATCCCTTTTTTCCAGAAATGTGCTTTCATGTTTGCAGTTACAATGTAATACAAGCAATTTTTATAGTATGACTGTACTGTGTACAATTCTCTTAAAGATGTCTAAGTAAATTTAATTACAGATAAGAAAACATAACACTAAATATATTCACAGTAGACTGAATATCAGGAATCACAGCTCATGTTACATTTCTTTCCAAGATTACAACGCAACCATGGATTATATAAAATAGCAAATTATTTCCCCTTGGATAATTTAGGAGACATGTTGAAAACTCAGAAATTTGGGTATAGCACAGTTTGTATTCTCATACAGAGAAATTTCATTTGATAGGCTGTGGTAAAATTCTTAAGAGAACTGAATTTAAGAGCTAGATAGTGTTAAATGTTTGCAAATGAAAAGAAGATCAAGTCAAGCATTTAAGAAAACCAATCCTCACCTTCTTTGATCAATTCTTTGCACATGTCCTCATCAGCCATAGCTTCTGGAGCTAAATTTAACAATTCTTTCAGTTCCAAGTATGATGGAATCTTAACAGAATCTGATCTGTCATGGAGTTTGCAGAATTCTAACTCAACAGGCAGCATGAAATACTGAAAAAATGTTAATCACAACAGAATGGCTAATAAATTTCCTTTGATGTTACTGTACAGTCTAAGCTTTTTCAAAATCTTCAAATAGCTTATTTCTAAACCATTCTAAGAGATTTTAAGAAAGAAGTCATATGATCCTTAGACTGCATACACAAATATTTGCTCAATACAGAGAAACAAATAGTGTTACAGTATTTCAAAATGAGTCAGTGCAGTATAGAGACTAGATCTGAATTTATAGTTCCTAATCAAGTAAAATCCTCTTCTATTTAACTGAAAGCTTGGTGTTTAGAATTTTGAAAAATGGAGCAAAAAATATATTTGACTTCTTTTAAAAAAAGAAGCCAGACTGGGTCTCCAAATCCCAGACCATATCTCGGAACTCTCCTATGCACATGTCATATCTTCCTATTCCAGTTCATTTTGTTCTTAGTGTAACTACCTACATTAGGGTCCAGGAGAAAAAGCTGACTGGAGTGGAGATTCCCAACAACAGCACCCAAGAATTAAAAAACCCACACATAATACCAGTGTTTTAAAATATCCAAAATATGAAGAAGACTTATATTTGGGAAGTATGAAAATTCTTCACTAAAATGACTGGAAGATGAACAAAAACTTATGTATAACATAAAGCAATCTCTTATAAAATATTTAGTAAGAGAAACAACATGATGATACCTCTTCATCTTTTACAGGTATGGTACAGAAGTCCTCTTTAATGCCCTGCAATTCTTTTTTGCTCTCTTCTATCTCCATTACATTTTGGAAAGTCAAACATTCTCTTTAAAAGATCATAAAATAAAGCAAGTGAATTCTTTGTGTTACTTCATATCTAAGGCTGAAAGTCTTAGCAGTATCTTTGGTAGCCATGTGTGCCAGAAGTTTTTTTTTTTCTAAATCCACACTTTTTTAAGAAAGCAATTCCAAGTGATGATGTACTAATACGTCTAATTAACTGAAATTATTTTTCAAGAAATAGTATAGTATATTATATACAGAGTAGAACCAGTTAATACTGGAACTTGCCTTAAAAAAGTTACAAAAAAAATTAAAATTGTTCATCATCTCAACATAGAAGTCCTGTCATGTAAAAACACTTTCTGCAAAAGCTGTGGAAATGTCAAGTTTTTCTGCTATATACAAAATTTCTGTAATCTGTAACACTGACATTATTTCTCTTTTCATTTTTTTCCTTTCTGTTTTCCAAAACGACTCAGCACCAAACAAGGCAGAGTGTGCTCAGTATTAATTAAAATGAGAACTAAAAGTATGTTCCCTGGTTTAAATGACAAACTTTTAAAATGCCAGGAAGTAAAACGCAGGAGTCAGTCTATTTTGCCTTGTGAAGCAAGGATACAAGGAGAACAGGGATGAAGATTTTTCAGGTAGAAAGAAAACCTTTCAGTAGGCTTGAAACTCATGGCCATTACAGGCACTAATATAATGAGTTTTTAGGGAGACAGCTTCCTCATTGGTCCCTGCCACCATTATTCTCCTGGAGGAATATTTTAGACTGAAAAATATATATTGTTCCACACCTAGTCTTACAGTGTTCACAGAATTTTATCTTAAGTAGAAGTCTGTCTAACTGTATCTCTTTATCTAAATGCATGTCCTTGTGTGATCCACTAGGATCACACTCCCATCCTGAGACAGCTGGTGGCTTTGAAACTGTGGATCAGCAGGTCAGAGCTATTTCTGTAAAGGTTCACACCAACATTTTTTTCTCCCATGACCGGTATTTCTGAAAGTCATTGCAGAATTTGGATCATGTTCTCTTTGCTGGATATTTACAGTAATCACACATGAACGTAGTCCTATGTTCAAGACTCACTGCAAGATGAGGGCTCATGTTTGAAAATACAGGTAAACAACCCCATTCCTCCCTGTTCTGTCACTATATAGGTACAGGTAATAAATAGATCAGGTTAAATCTGCTTTGTTTGCTTTTAAATCGTGTGAAGGAAGTGCAAAGGAAGCTGTACAAGTCATTCAGATATGGAGTATACTTGTGCAAAATCCAGCCAGGCTTTATGCAGGTATGTATGTACATGAATATATTTACAAAATACTAGCCACATTCTGAATATGACTTGTACCAGTCTGGTGTTCCAGTTTTTTCAAACTCCTGACATAAGACAGAATTCAATTAATTTCAGTCAACCTAGACATATGAAATTGAGTAAAGCCATAATAATAATTAATATTTGAACTTGAAGAAATACAATTCCCCAGGGTAAGAGCAGGGATTTACTGACAGCATGGCTGAAAGGAGAGGGAGAAGGAACACAGAAGAATGTGTAAAATCCTGGCCCAGCTCAATGCCATTTTACTGATAGGGAATCAGTCTGAGGGATGACCAGGTCACTTAAAGATGGACATTTCTGCAGTACTCCAAAACTGAAATCCTGAGCATATTTCACACATAGAGAATACAAAATTTCTATAATTTCATTTATCCCGTTTTCTTAAATAATGTGTAGAAATTTCATCCTACCAGTTTTTTCACAAGAAGAAAAGCTGATGTTGCAAATATAAATTAGTTAAAAAGTTAACATACAACAGAAGATGTAAAAATGTTAATGGCATTAGACAATGGCTATTATTTATGTTTAATATTATACAACAATTTGTAGATACCTGAAAATTTTCTCTTCTGTTAAATTTTTCCCTTCATAATCTAAAAGGGGATCTTTCACTAAAAAACCCTGTAGTCTGCTCAGAAGCATAGATAAAGTAGGCAGCTTTTTACGAAAATGTTCAAGGTTATCAATAAAAACAAGTTCCTCTTCCAGGCATAAATCTGAAGAAAAACATGAAAAAAAATAAAACCCAATACAAACATAATAAGAATTATCAGAATAAAAATAATTATTGAGCAACTGTTGGAGTGCTATATATGTCAGCAAAACAATAAATACTTTTTACTTTAAATATTTTAGGATTTTAAGCTTTAAATGCAACACAGCCTAAACTTCCAATGGTTCATGTGATAAGTTCTGGTGGGTTTTTTTCTTTTCTTTTGTCTTACTTGACACTTGTTCAAAAGAAAAGGTAGTATCTTTTCATTCCCTTGTTTGCATTGTAAAATATAATAAAGGAAGGGTTTGGCTGAGAAACTTAGTTCAGTGCAATTTTTTATCTAGAAATTCTCTCCACACAAATCTAAATCTAAATGTTCTCTAGTTCTGGACCAAGAAAAAATTTATTAACAGAAGGAGCAGAAGAAAAAATAGGTTACGAATTATTGCAATTTTGAGAAAGATGACATTACGGACCATAATTTTGTTGTAGTTTACACTACGTCTCTCCATGAGACAGAAATGATGCAGTATTCAAAACCTGATACAATCCTTTATATTTGCAATATAATATACACATTCTACACACATATTACACATACAGAAGGGAAAAAGGAGTTCTTCCTTTTTTTTTAACAACATGGAAGCTTCCTCATTCCCACATCTCCTTTTCACTCTCTCACTTCTTTCCTTCTGGAAGTGGTGGATTCTGATTATATTCCCCCAAAACTGTTTTATGTTACTAATGCAAACAGATCCCCATAAAGAAATTCATCAATTAATAATTAAATGCCTTGTTGCAAAGTGCCTCTTTTTAATGAGATGAACAGTTCAGGAGAGGCTACTAAAGCTTCTAGTCACCTATAAAGTACCTCCAATAGAAAAAATTACATCTTCTGATATAATTTACAAAATCTCCGATCTATTCTTTTCTTCAGGTAACCAGGAAGACAGAGTAGGAAGCACCTCAATATTCAGGCAATTACGTGTTAAAATCAGTCGGAAGATAGACTGCTCCAATGACATAAACTTGATTATGCTGTCCTCAAATGATATCTCACTTACTTTGCGTTAATTCAAATAAAGCAGGATGAATCCAATTATGCTAACACTAAATCCAGACAAACGAGGCAGAACTTTGCTTTTCATTTGTATTTATTATGCCAATTTAGCTATAGTTTTTATTAATTTTTACTATATTAATTTGTATTGCATATTTTTTATAAGTTGCAACAGTACTGGAGGTGTATGAAAAAGGGAGGGCTTTTTTTCAATTAAACTTGTTATTCTAATGTGATTTAAGTATTTTTATTACTGCATTTCTTTGTTAATTTTAATAGATTTTAACCTCTTACTCTCTACCTCAGGAAAGCATGCCAATGCAAGAATGAACTTAGGTATTTACTGAAGTGCCCTCCTGAAGTGGAACAGATGCAAACACATAGCTAAGTGCTTTCCTAATAGAGAGTTTTAAAACTGGAGCAATAAGTAGAGTTTGAAATTCACAGATGCCAGTGTCTGAAATCCATAAAATTGAACCGAGTTGTCACTTTGTGATTTTAAGAAGTGAAGTTCCACGTTTTTTAATATGCTTATTTCTCAGAATTGTAACCTGAATGCACTATCATCATGTTCTTTGATTTAGTAATTTCTGATCATCAAAGCACTTAAATGTTTTGATAATTTGCTCAAGTACTTTATCAACTGGGGAGAAAATATTCACATATTTGAATGCAAGTTTCACTGTGCTATCATATGCTAGTGTAAATTCAGTGCTCTTCAGCTTAATAGTACAAAAGATGGTTGTCATTCCACTGTGACCTCTTTCTCATAACAGACAGCATATGAAAACAGAAAGGCTATTATGAGCATGCTAAATATTGAAAACTTGTTTGAATATAATAATCTAACATAATTGTGAAGAGTAGAACCCTACAGTTACTGACTCAACCATACCAAGTTTCTAGCTTTTCCATTCAACGCGCTCCATATTTCAGAGGTTTTAACTTACTGTTCTTCATCACTATAGTCTAGTAATAATTTACGAGCTATATTTTAAATGTATGCATAAACTATTACACTAAACTTCATATCCTTATTGGAAACTTCTTTGCTTTAAACCAGAACCTTTAAATATTACAGTTCTTAGTAAGTATTATATGCATTATTTCTTAGATTACACCTCAAAATTGAAATGAGTAGAGACATTTATTTTATTCTCTGAAAGGAAAAACAGTTATATTAACAGAAATAAGCATAAAATACTTTAATATTCACAAGCTGATAGAAAAAACCCTCCTGCAGTAATAAACTAAGCTGTCTAGAATTCAAATATAGCCTTCCTCTATTGCAAAAAAACAGATTTGAAATTATAATTTTAAATCTTACATCATGTTCTTTTTTTTTTCAATACAAGTTAGATATTTATATATTATACCACTCATAATATTCCACTTGTAATAATTTTTATGTTAGTAAATTTCCCTGGTTTTCCACTCTGTATCTTCATGCTTGCAGTGAAAACTAGTCAGTTTTGTGCTGTTAGCAAACCAGAGGACATTAATTAGCAGGTTCTCAGTTCTTTCAAAACGGCAGCTTTGAAAAATGTCAGAATTAATACTTGCCTCAAAAGTCAACAGATTTTTGCTAACATTTCCTTCTTTAATGCAAGTAGAAAGAAAAAGGGTTGGCAGTAACACATCATTACACTGGAGGATAACTATCGATGGGCTAAATCAATACATAAGTCATCAGAATAGTGAATAAACTAATGTTCTCCCATTAAAAAAAAATCTAGTCTACTTAGCTCGCCTATTTATGTTTAAGCACAACAAAAATACACAACTTCAAAAAATATGACTTTTAAATTAAATTTATACTGTTTTTTTTTCTTGCCATGTGACACCTGACTTGGAAAAAGAAATCTGGTTGTTGATATTAAGTTCCTAGTAAAAGTGTACCTTGTACAATACTGTATCAAGAACTAACTGCCTTCTCTTTGTCACTTTGGAAGCTCTGATGATTACATTATTTTCCTTTTCTTAAGCGATATAATTGATAGATATATTAAAAAAAACCAAACCTGTATTACAAAAAACACACAAACACACCTGATAGTTAGAATAATAAATTACAATTGAATCAGTTGAATTAAGCACTTTCTCAACATTTTGTTTTCTATGATCAGAAGTCATTATATCTGTGAGGGCACTACTAATCATAGAATTTCAGAAAAAGCATAGGAACGCTACCCAATTTTTATTATCTTAATTCCAGCAACAACGCAGAAACTGCTTACTTCTTCCCTCCTTAACATGATAAGAGAATATCCTGCAAGAACCTAATTTTATTTGAGGTAGAAAGGATCATTAGCATTTTGATCAATGACTGATAAGTTCTACTTAATTTAATATTTTTTGTCGCCTTCTGCCATATATTTTATCAGCCTGAAACTTCTTTTGGCTTGAACCATTGAACCTTGAACCATTAAAGCAAGCCCTGCTTCTCCAGCAAATAAATCTCTTAAATGGTTATAACTTCTGCAACTGAAAAGGCTGTCATCACCCAAATGATGACTTAAATGACTACAGATCACACACAAAAAATTAAGGAAGTTAACACGCTGACTAGAAGAGCAAATTTGACACTTTACCTTGCCATTGTTCTTTAAATTCAGTGGCATAGTCAATCTTCAAGTATTTGTCTTGGGTGGATTTTTCCTTAAAAACATTCTCCATCAGAAAAAAATATTCTTCTATGTCAGTCTGCGAGCAGGGATTTGAACTTGGAATAACTTCTATTAATTCATTACCAATATGGAAATTTACAGAGGAGATAGGTCTCCTAAGGAGCAGGAAAAAAATACCTTATGGTTAAGCTGTTGTAAAAGCACTGTCATAATTTTTCTGATTCCTCAGTGAATCAAGGCCACTCAAAAACTGTATCTTCTGAAGAAGTTTGGAAATTACATAGTTGTTATCATTATTCACTAGATCAATGGGCAAATTAATGTTTAATTCTTCCCCGAGAAAAAGCCCTTTAGGTTTACTCCCAGTATTAATTTGAACAAAAGGATAACGGCTGGAAAAAAGCATCAAACTCATTGATGTCAAAATATGTACGAAAAAAGTTTGCTGATGGGTTAAATCTATAGTCATGTTTCAAAAATCATGATGAAACTGCAGCTAACTACAACAGGAAAAAGACATGATACATGAAGAAACAAACTCACTTCATTTGTCTGTCACTTTTCAGGCTAATCTCAAAATTACTATTGTCAGGGAATAAAAACCAAACAAAACCTTTTGCCAAAAAAACAGCAAAATAATTTGACTACAGAAAAAAAAATCATGGTCCTCAGCTAATTATGCATCTGTACAAAATATCTGTAATTAATATTTAAAATATGGTTGTGCTAGTGCTATGTTATACATTTAAATTGGTTGGAATAAAAAAACACCTTTGATTGATGAGTGCTGGCATTTCTAAAGAACCCAAATTTTCGGCTCATTTATACTTCTTGAACTTAATATTCTAATTTCAGAGAACTGATTTCTCAATTGTGCATCCTATTGATTTATTCACATTTTAATAATCATTTGCATTACAAAGTCTTGCTATTTTTTAGTCATCTGGAGGTAAATCTCATAAATGAAATCAACAGAGGAGTGCATCTCTGAATTTCAGCATAGATCTTGCTTAGGCTACAACAGCAAGGAATCTCTACTACACATCTTAAAAAAAATCAACTGTTTTATGTTGTTGAGTACAGTTCAAAAGTTAATTTTGAAATTACAAGCAGTACAGTTCACAAGCAATAACTGTGCCATATTGATAATAATTAGTATCCAAACTTTAACATGGCACAAGCCTTTTAAAACCCACAAATCTTAGAACACTGTGCCAAGCCACATGCAGGCCACCTTCACCAAAATCAATGGGTTTCCCTATAGTTTAGACAGATCATGCCAAAGTGAGTTGCTGATTTGAGACTACATGGGCCAGACTTTTCCAGAGCCAAGCCCTTAGTAAGGCTGGTTCTGGAAAACGGTAAATACTTGTGGCTTAGGGCTGGGCCAGCCACTAAAACATGGACAGATATTCTCTAACCTTCTTCCCCCAGCAATCGGGAAGGAAAAGGGAATGAGGCAGAGAGACAAGTTAGAAAACTAAAACAGCTTTAATGAAACAACAATAGAAATAATAGTGAAATGATAAAAATAAAGAACTATATACAACTATATATAAGTGTGATATTGAACCTGACTCGTCCCTGACAGCAATCCCCACTGGTGCTGCAGAGCAGGAGGCACTGGGGCAGCCCCAGACTCAGCGGTGTTGGGCAGCGGGACAAGGGGAGCTGGATTCGGGAACTCAGGATCAGAATCAAAGGCAGAAGATCGGACAGAGTCCTCCTTGGATGCCGACTGCTGAGGAGAGAGGCCTAAACCTTTGTGATCCCTCAGTTTTATACTAAATATGATGTATATGGAATAGAATGCTCTTATTGGTCACCTGTCCCGTCTGTAACTCAGCGGAGGTGCCACCTTTTAGTTCCTGTGACCCCTCTCACTACCCGGCACCCCCAGCGTGGCACACAAGAGCCAGCAGTGGCCTTGGTCACTGTAGGAGTAAGTATCAGCAAGAGCCTTTCTGCATCCCAGTCCCAGGCAAGCCTAGTGCTGCTATTTTCTGTAAACAATTAATTCTCCAACCACGAGTTTTCTACAGATTTGAAGATTACATAGATTTTAGACTAGTCTGTAAAAAGCCAAATGTAATTTCTCTATTTCTTTCATACTAATGATTGTTTGAAAACACAAATAGACACAATTTACTGGTTTTGCAGAAACATATTTTTCTTTCATGTCATATATGCTGTAAAGACTTGCTGCAACCTGTTTTTAAAATGAACTCTATTCCAGCATTCATTTGATACATTTTGACTTTAGATACTTAACTTTAAAATAAATACATCGATCTTCGACTGCTGTAAAGCAAATTTTACTTTTTATAGCTTTCTTTTACACCTTTTCAAAAATTTGTAAATACTCTTCTTCGAATAGCTTCATCTACAGTTAGAGGAGGTAACTGTCGTAGAGATGGATGGGGGAAAAATCTCCTCAGGTTTCATTTTCATGTTCATACACAGATTTCAGGGACTTTCTCCAATGTCATAAATAAATTACACAACCATTACAAAAGTGACATAAAAAAAGGAGAGAACTCCTTAAAACCACAATACTACTTTGAGTTAAAAAGCCATCTTTAAACTATCTGCTACAGAGTACAGCTCCAGTGCACTGGACTCTTGCTACTGTCAGAAAACATTTCCATATTCTGTTATCATCATTAGCACATGAGTCACAAAGTACTTGAATGATATCAAAGGAATCACATATGTTTTTAACTTAAGGTTACTGACTTTTCCAGGAAATCCTCCACAGCTAAACTTTTCTTCCATTGATCCAGTACTGAAATAGTGACCATGTTCTGTGTTGATGTAACTGAGACAAAAGGAGAGAAAAAGAATCACACAAAAAATACTTAAATTAATTTCTATTTTTAGATACTAACTAAACATGATGAAACAACACTTAGTTTCCATTAGCAAAAGTAAATGCAATCACACCAAAAAGACACAAATACTTTTTTATATATGTTTACTCTTTATGCTTGGAAACCCCTAGGTTTTTTTCCTGCATCTCAAAATGTGAACATCATCTTTCCAACCTACCCCAACTAATCAGATTTACTATTTTACTTACCTCTGATAATTGCTTTTGTTCCCATAACCACATGCCCAAACAGAAACTTTTCCAGTGATGTCTACAAAACTAATATATTACCCTCATTTATGGTTCCATACACAAATTAATATCCACTAGCCATTTTTTCCTACTTATGCAATGAATATGTTCTACCTTCAAGAGATACATGAGCTAACGTACTACTACTTCCAGAAGTAATTCATCTCTTTCTACCAGACTTCCTATGCACAAACATAAGATTTTCCTTTAATCCATACTAAATCTAAAATAAAACTTAAGACTATATAACCTACTTCTAGTCCATGGCTTCCTATACTTCTCATCAGCAAAGAGTCCAGTCAGATGATACTTTTCATCCTGACGTAAGCAGGGAGGAAAGCAAAGTGATAACCTCCAGATGGAAAACTTCTGCCTTGCCATGCTCTGCACAAAAAAAGGCATGTGATAAAAACATGAGACAGCTCTTCCTCATCAGTCACACTGTTTTCAAGTGTTTTCTGCTAGAACATATTTTGTAGCACTGACACAGTCCAAAATAAGAGAAGATATTATTACATTGTTAGATTACATATTAGTAAATGTAACATTCACCTGACTTGATATTTAATTTTTAATCTACACTTCTCATACACAAAATTGCACATATGCTTAGCTACACGTACCTAAACTTTGTGTGTGTAATTACGAGTGCTTATCTTAACATTTGCATTGGTCTTCTGAACTGACACGTGTATACAGAGGCCAGAAACAACTTAAAACCATTTCTACTATTGCCATTCCATGCGCTCATAATATTCTAAAGTGTCTCAGCTTTCATGCATCATTATGAGCTAGTAAAAGCCCTTTATAAATCCATTTATCTTCAGTAAAAACAACAGAGAAGCATGGTAGTAATAAACTGAATTTCAGAATTAAATAATCAATGTGGTGACTTCAGTAACTCCTCACTGAGTAACACCTTCAATAAAGTAACAACAATTCTTTTGTCACAGAAGCCCATGTTCAGTACATGTTCAGTATAAATAGCAGAGAACCACAGAATAAAGAGTGAGTTTAGGAAGTAGAGAAAAATTTTCTTACAGAGGGGGTTGTATTTAACAAGTTTATAGCTTAGAAAGAAGTCCTCAAAAATTCTAAGGTGTAAAAGGTATATCAGAAAAGGCAACTAGCTATAGAAATGTGGAAGAACATCGTGAGTGACACCAGAAGATTCTCTCTAGTTCTAAGTCCATTGCCTGACTTCAGCTTGGTTGCTTCAGGCCCTAGAAATGTCCACCTGCTTCAGTATATGCTGTCAGGCCAGTTATAGCCTGTATAGTTAGACATCTCAGGTGACAAACTAGAAATAGTTCACTGACTTGGCTTGCTATCAGAATAGTCATGATGTTGGTGCACTCTTCAAATATTCTTGTATAGGCAGAGTGAAACTGAAAGGAAAAAAGGAAACAAAAAGATGTGGGAAGCAATGTGATCAAACCCTGTCACTTCTGTGAAAGGTCACCATTACAGATCCTTTTTCCATTTCAGTTTAATCCTTTGTGGGGGATAGCTACAATTCTGTAAATGCCAGTTAATTTTAACAAAAAAAAAAAAGAAAAAAAATTACTGCCATCATTGCATCTCTTCTTTAGAAGGCACTTAAAAAAACCGCAATAAACACCGTGCATACCCAGTGCATTCCCCTTGCCTGAGACAAAGCATGATGTTTCTGCAGTGATCTTCTCATTAACAAACTAATTCTGAACAAAAAAGACAGAAACAGACAGCTACAGACAGCTGGACCGAGGTCTTCTACATATTACTGACCATACATCAGTTTAAGTAATCTGTATTGAAGTTACTGCTAAAACAACTGCATTTATCATAAAATAAAGTACATCTGGTGAAGTTCCTCGTAGAGATCACAGGAACAGGAAGAACTGATGATGATCTTTGCCTTCATTAAAACAAGCTGTAAGGATGGTGACATAATAGTTCTTGAAGTATTCTTATGTTACAAAAGAACGAACTAATGAGCAAGTGAATACAAGCAGTAATATGACAGAGATCAGAAATGCTAAATACCAGTACTTAGTTTTACTGAAGCTAACTTAAGCTTAATAGCTAAAACTGTTTTCAGTCACTGTTGTCTGTAAAATGGAACAAATACATTCTATCCATCATCGCAGATAATGTCCTTAAACCGGGAAAATCTTGTATTTTACAGAACATTTTAAATATATTTCTTCTAAGTAAGCGTACAGGTTAAGCTGAATTAGTTCACTTTAAAAAGTCTGCTAATACACAGACTTTCTTTCTCAAATATATAAAAGTGTTTTTCAAGGCCATTATTAATGACTATAGCGTTTAATTGATCCATATTCACCCCTTTCTCAAGGAAATATAAAGGTCCCTGGAAATTTCTCTTCTAACTAGATGATATTGTGTTAATTTCTATAGTTACATGCAGCTTCCATATATTTTAAGTTTATAATCTATGAGAATGTTGAACTTACAAGATGACTTCGTAATCACACCTACAACACTCAGTAGCATGACTCTCATGTCTGTATTGACCAAAAAGGCTCCGAATTTTTTCAAATATACATTTATACTGGGGCAGCTGGAAAAACTATATCACGAGTTGATAAAAATGTCTAACCCATGCATTAAAAGAAGGACTCCACATCCAGCTGAGCCAGATGTATGCAAGATCAGAGTTTGATACGCTCATTTAATTCCAGCATTTCCTAAGAACTGAAAGCATTAGGCAAGTGCACTTGATATACCAGAATACCTGGAAAGTCAATTGAACTATTATATACTTTCTACCAGGAGGGTAGAGGTTAGGCACAAGAGTGGAACCAGTAGCTGAAGTTTTAGCGCAGTATATCCCTTTCACAATCAGGTCTGTAACATCTTAAAATGTGTGATCACATCTGTTAACCCTTCCTGGTAGTATTACAGAGCAATATTCACCCTGTTCTAGAGCAGCCATTCAGTGGGTCACCGAACATTTCTCTTCTACCACTTTTCATTTGTCCTGCTTGCCACAGGGCCCTACTCCACAAAACTCAGGCAAGAGAAGACATCAATTGTAATTCTTCTCTTTTGCAGAATACCCCACAATACGTTTTTCTAATGGACCTATTTTTTACTCACAGATAACACAGGAGCATCTGAAGATCAAAACCGAATGAAACTACTGTGAAAAGGTTTTCACACAAATACTGAATGACAGACTGCATACTGCTGGAGTTACAATAGAAAAAGTTCTAGTTGCTACAATCTAAGAAAGCACTAGGCACATACACAGGTACTATTTGGGACAATTCCTGCACTCTGAGGGAAGGGATGTGGGCAATGTGCTTCATAACATGGATTTCAGTTTACCTGCAAGTACTGCTGCTGGACCACTTCTCTAGCCGTGTGCCAGGAGTGCTTGTTTACGTACTCACACTCTCCTTGAACTCTTGAAGGCATCATGCTTCACTACCTCATTCTTCTGCTTACAGACTAGAAATGTCACTTCCTGGCAAAGCATCACTTTGCCAGATAAGTTTTCTATTTCGCTTATAGGTTTTCTTTGAAAATGTAAGTAAGTAAAAACTCAAAGACAGCATGCTTCAGTGATAAGCAGTTGGTATCATCAAATAGATGTACAGAGGAAGAAAAATAAGACTTCATAAGGTTTCTATGTCTTAACAGATCAACATCTATAAAGTCAAAATACTTATTAAAGTGTGAGAAAACAACTCCTCTCCATTAATTTAATCTAAAATATTATAAAAACTCTTCCCTACCATCAGCGGGGAACAGTGTGTTGTGTATTACTATCCTTATATATATTAATGTAGCTAGAAAATTGGATTAGTTCTCCAAAGACATAATTAATTGAATTTGATGCATTAGAAGGCAGAGTGCGTTCTCCAGAGGAAGCTCTAAGCAGGAAACTGGCGATAAAACACAATTATAAGTGCAACAGACACCAAAAAAAAAGTAATTATGCTTTTCAGCTTCAGCAAAATAGTACTTTAATTTTAAAAAAAAAAAACCCTGATCAATTCACTATGTTACCCCAGCAAGTACACTACAACAACCTCACTGAAATAGAATTCCTAAGCAGTTCTCTGTATCTTTTTTAATGTGCACTTATTTTTTTCTTGTTACTGCCGTATTTCTTTCAGAATATTAAAAGAAATAATACAACTATACCTCATATAAATAGTCTGTTGAGTGATACTTTAAGGCTGTAAACATCTTGTTTTGTGACGTTCACAGCACTTCACTTGCCTAGAAGATATACAGAATATGGATTAGTTCGAATTTTCTTGTGTCATGAAAAAATGTTGAAAGGAAAGGTTGAAGTTAAGGTTCAACATGAATAACTTCCAAACTTCTACTAGCACATGCACCTTGTGCTGATTTCCTGCAGAAGGGTACCCAAAACATTCAGTATTATTCCTTCAGAAAGATGTAACAGACTATCTAAAGATGAGAGACACATAATTTTTATCTAAAGGAACTGGGCTTTTGGGTTCTTTTTAGACATGTCTTTTGCTATTTCTTTCACAGAAAACCTTTCAAACCATGAAGTGAATGTAAGCAACGCAAATTACAGCAACAATTTTAAGAAAAAAATTGATTAAATTAAATTTTATGGATTCTAAATTAGCTTTTAAAGATAGTAGTTCAGCTATTTAAATGACTACCT